ATATGTGAATGTGCTCAATCCCTTAGGACTGGTGCAGTTAAAAACAAGACGCGGCAGATGTGATCTCATATTTTCGTTCGAGTGTGTGTATGGCTATTATGACTGTCCTTTTATTGTGTCTTGCATCAATCTAAATGTGCCTGTTAGACATTTCCTCAACAGCTACACGTTTTGCGTTGATCCCATGCATTGTTTCTCTCCTGTAGTTAGCATACAAAACCATTTTAATCATCTTGATACGCGCCTTGACTTTTTTAAATGATGACATCACACCATTCAAGGAAGCGTTGACAATCGAATATAGTGCGTTGTCGTCGGGTTGTTTTCTAGATTAATTTTTTTGTCGCTTTCACCTGAGCAATGTGACTTGGTGCTCTACCGTCCTAGGCTTCTGGCCGTTGGTAGGCACTGAAAAAAAAATGTCGGCGATGGTCTTGCTTAGGCGTTTTATCAGTCCATTAGTCTGAGGATTGGATGTTGTGGTTTGCCGGTTGTTGGTGTGGCTGGGAAGGAGGATCTCTTGCATCAGCTGGTGCAACGAACGATGACCCGCGACCTCTAATCAGAAATTCGGAAGCGCCGTGCCGATGTACGATGGTCTGAATGAAAAGCTTGGGGGCTTCCACAGCAGTTCCTGAAGGAAAGGCTTTCGTTCCGGCGTATAGTGTGAGATAATCTGTGGAAAGGATCATGCAGCGGTTTTCTGACGTTGACCTCGGAAAAGGGCCCAGCAAATCCATTTCGATTTGCTGGAACAACGTAAACGGGTGGAGGGGGGAGGGGCAATCGGATGCAGAAGTCCTGACTTAAGTACCTTGATACTTCTTTTACAAGTAACGACAACCAATACAAATGACAAAGCCCATTCCGCTTGAACAAATTGGCGGAATTCCGTTCAGTCTTCTGCTGTGCGCCGCCATTCGCTTCCTAAAACCTGCACCGTCACGCAGTTGGCGCTTCAAAGAATGTCGCTTTTGCAGGAAGTTCTTATTTAGGGGATGTAGTCCTGACGACTTCATTGGTGGTTTCTTGCGCCGCTGAAACAGCAGGATCGAGCGCTGGAGCGAGACTGACGCAAGCTCGCCACGTGGTGCCACTTGTGTACACGCGTGGTCTTCTGGAACAATCGGAGTTGAAGTTACGGCGCGCAGAACATTCTAACCTCGCATAGGCAAAAGGTTTCTCGAATTTTCCAGAACTCGACGTCCACAGAAACAACAGAAAGGTATAACCGCGGCCAGGCATCGAACCTCAGCTCTCTGCGTGGGTGCTAAACACTGTAACCGTCAGACCACGGCGCACGGTAAGCGTCCGCGACGCTAATGCGCTCAAAACTTAAAAAATCCCGCAAAAGAATTTTTTTTTAACAATCTGGAAGGGACATCCGTGTCAAAAAAAAACATTTACGCAAAAAAAAAAAACATTTAGCGCAATACTTGACGGCGAGAGATTTATTTGAAATTCTTCGTGCCAAGTCCAAGCTGTCACTGGTCATTCCCAAATCACCATCTCGGTCGTGAAGGCGAAGCCGATTCACCTCTGCTCCACGCGCCCGAAATGCCGAGTGAGAAAACAAGTAAAAAGGAGATAACTGAAGACTAAATCGCGTGTCACGCCGTCGATATTGCTCTAATTCGTTTTTTCGCGTAAAATTAATTTTTCGGCACGCGAGTTCCAATCAGACAGATTTTCTTTTTCTCAGAAGCTCTTTAAGACCGACTGACACGTCAATCAGACGCGACCATGAACATGGTGCTTTACCATTCCACACTGCGCGAGCCACGGTCTAATGTGTCCCTGTGTGTGAATTGGCGAATCCACGCTAAAAAGCAACTGAACGGACTAATTCAAAAACGAAATAATGATAATCACAAAAAAGTAAATTTTTTCAGTTTTTGTTTCTGTTTTTTTATTTGGTTTATTTTATTAGGCGCTTCCCCGCCGGTAGGGCGGGGAAGCGCCATAACGTAGTACCAAAACACGACGTAAATGAATTCGCTTTGGCAAGCCAGGGGCGCAGCTCGCACCTTGAGAGCTAGGCCCTCCAGAGCAAAATGATGGGTACATCTAGGTACACCTAGACAAACATGAGGCGAGGCGAACACCCGACTGCTTCCAGTCAAATGTATGGCAAAATGTACCTGTAGGTATCGTGTCAGGACTAGAACCAGGGTCACAATCACACTTTTTGCACAATCAAGAGAGCAGAGAGAATACGTTTACGAGAATCGATACTTTTGTTCCACATCAAAGCGTGCAAACAGAGAAATTACGCCAGATCAATCAAAATAGTTGATGTAGGACAGCCGGACCACCTACAAAAACATTCACCTGTTTAGTATGTTCAAAGCAGTGTGCTTGTATAAGTTGCATGACATGAACAACGTCGGTCTCTTTTCATGAACATCTCGGTAAGCGCAAAACGAGTCGCACTCGTGAAAATAGACGAGCTGAATCAACATACGTGATGTATGCGACTGCTTGCCAAAAAACTCTGGGAGCTACGTTGTGGATGAAGAAAGAATAAAACAATTAAAACAGGGACAACACAACCTGTTTTAATTGTTTTATTCTTTCTTCATCCATGACTTAAACCAACACGCTATTCTCCCAAGCAGAGCTACGTTGGTTGTCCTTTAACATCGAACCAAAAATGGCAGTCCCGTTGTTTTTGTTTTTTTTTTGTTTTTTTTTAAACAAAGCTTTTTACGACTTTATGAAAGAGTTTTACAACGCATATTCCGCACTGCAATCATCTCCCCAAGCAGGTGCATAGATCGTAAGCATGTACTAGACTAGATGAGGGTTTTGACCTTCAACTAAATAGTGCCTTGTTGCTCAAAAATATTACGCCGTAAATATTTTCTTCGTTTAGCCGGGGAAAGTTAAAAGGATGTTCTCTATAATTCAGTATCCCTGGAAGGATTGTACATTTTCTTCGGATTGACAAACATAATAAAGACGCCTCGAAAAAACGTGCTCGAACTACACCCTAGTAATTTACTAAGCTAAGAACGTACCGGTAGATCCTCTCTCCCATTCATTACCAGGAGCCATTTTTTCTTTCCGATGCCGAACTACGTACTCGGCACCAACACGCACACTTCGCGACACTGTTAGCGCGAGCAAGCCTTTACGTGTTTTTTTTTTACTCTTTTCTTCACATCGAAAGGCTGTCTTCAAGAACTGCTATAGTCTGTTTCACTTGTCCAGTCGCAGCTGGTGCTGCGGTGCGATGAAGCGAATCAAGCAGCGTTAAACTTTATGGTCATGGCGCTTGTGGTATTTGCGGGTTTGCAATGGTCGGCGAAGCCAATCAGGCGCAGGGAGTGCAATCACTATGTGTGATTGGTTCGCTCGATGACAGCGAGCACACAAAGAGGATGAGCGCCATGACGAAGCGCTTTTCGCAATGCTTCATTGGCTCCATGAGGTCGTGGTGACAGTTGCGATAGGGCTTATTCTGAAACCAAGTATGATGTGGTTGGAAGGGTTCCACTTCACACCTGAGTGGTTAAACATTGGCGCCTACCGCTATACCCTTCCGAAATAAAATTGGTGTTGGCACTCGGCCCGTCGTGCCGACGCCGTATAACTAGACATGTGTACGGCTTTTCAACGGTTGGTCCGCGTTGCGACGCGATATCTTGGCCTGTACATGGTTGTGTTTGGCGCATTAGATTGTGCTGTAGAGTTTGGCGCCCGACGACCCTTTTATTGGCTCGGACTTTTAAAGGCGTGACCTAACATAGACATTTATGAAAATATCAAGGGGGCGGTGGGTGTGTGGGGAGCGATGTGTCACCCCTTTCCTAAGTTCCTAACTATAGTTCCTGACAGATTATGAGACGCAAAGCATCGCTTAATCCCGAGTATCCTATTATTGCTCTACCGCGAATCAGTTTGGGGTACCAACCGATAAGAACTCTGAGGAACGAACCACAAGCAAGGCGCGTGTTTAAAATTTGAAACACCATTTTCTTGTTTAGCAATCAGTGACTATGGAAATGTCTAAAATGACTAATGGGGACGATGACCTCTTCCACCCCCCCCCCCTCCCCTTTGCTCCGCCTGTTCCCAAGCCGGTGGCGTCCACACCACTGGCTTGGGAACAGGCTTCTGGCACCGGAATTACCTAGCAGCAAACAGAGTGTGGGATTTTATAACGATAAAAACAGAGAGAAATAGAAAAAAAAGGGCCGAAAAAAGAAAGAGTGGGGTGAAAAATGTAACTGTATACATTTTGTCTTGTAGAGGAGCTTTTCTTGTCGTGTAGAGGTGCCTTACCAAACGCACTACGTGAACGCTTCATAAAATCCACACAATCAAGGACCGGTGTCAAAGTCCCCATGCACAGCCGTTAATTTTCCGAACAGAAGAAGAAGACAGTCTGAGATGACGTTACCATTTTTAAACTAAATAACATTATTTTAATTGATACAACGTAGAATCGCTGAATCATAAATATTAAAATAAGATACGTGTCAAACTTCTATTAGAGATTGTAATATTCGCATGTCGTTACAAAAATAAATTGACTTTGAATTTTTTTATCAATACTGAATGTTGGGAAACACTTGTGGGCGTAACACCACTAGAATAAGTATCACTGCTATTGTCGAGGTTATCTTTTTTTATGCGAATTTAATTGCTATTGTGCTAATTAGAAGAAGCAGAAGACTTCTTATAGCTTATAGACAAGCATTTTTCTTGCATCAAAGGTCATGTAAGATGAATTTTACTTTTTCTTTCGTTCCTTTATTCGTTACTCGGGCAATGAGTGCTCAAAAGTGTAAAGGTATAATTGTTTAGCTTATATTTCACGCCGACGTACGGAGAAGCGGGTCGGTTCATGTGAAAAGATTTCCTGCCCAAATCGGAAAGAACATTGTACTCAAACCGTGTTTCTTGCAAATTTGCCTTAATAACTTACTGCTCTTACCGAGCTACATGCTAATAAAAAAGTTTGGTTATATTTTGCAATGTTCTAATAATTTCAGAGCCCAAATTAATATTCCTGTCCTGAAGTCATCATTAGGATCTGGCACTTGAGTCATCGCATGTCTTCAATGGTTGTTCCCGTGAGAATACCAGACGGACCCTTGTACCTGGACATGGACGGCTTTCGTCTGAATTCGTGCTTCACCTCTGAGGTGTTCCGGAAAGCGGTCAACTACAAGCCGAAGCCAGGCGATAAATTCGTCGCGTCTTATCCTAAGACTGGTACCACGTGGGCGCAGCAAATAGTGTATCTCATTTTCCACGATGGGGTGCCCCCAAATACCCCGCTGGAATTTCACAAAAACAGCCCTTTCATCGACTTGTTCGGTTTCGGTGACGCCAACCAAAATGCAAAGTCAAGATTGTTCAAAACGCATTTACCTTTCAATCTCGTACCCAAGAGTTCTGAGGCAAAGTACATCTACATGTGCAGAAACCCAAAAGACACCTGCGTTTCTTACTTTTACCACACACGTCGTTTTTCTTGTTATGATTTCCGGAATGGCAAGTTTGAAGTGTTCTTCGACGTTTTCATGAATGGAGACACCGATTACGGTGACTACTTCGATCACGTTTTGTCCTGGTACGAACACCGTAACGACGCAAACATATTGTTCATTAACTATGAGGAGATGAAACATGACCCAAAGACGTTTGTACTTAAGATTGCAGGATTCCTGAGCGAAAAGCACCACCAGCTTCTTCTTCAGAATGAGAAAATTATTGAAAACGTCCTTCAGTATAGCGGGATACAGTTCATGAAGGAAGAAGCGAAAGATCTTTTTGAGAATTTGTATGAAGAACCCTCGGATGAATCTGCTCCGCGTTTCATCAGGAAGGGCGCTGTAGGAGACTGGAAAGGCTACCTCAACGATGAGATGAACGCGAGGATGGAACAGAAAATTTCGGAGAAGTTTTCTGATACGGATATTATTGATGTCTGGAGAAAGTACGGCATCGTGTGACATCGTCAGCTTATCACTTCTAATGTGTCTTTACATCCTTCTTAGATCTGGTGTCGTGCGCTTTGAGCAAAACATATCATAAAAATAACTCCAAAATTGAACCGGAGGAACCAAGTGCTAATAAACAAATGGGACTGCTCTGCATACGTTTTCCTAAATGTTAGTATCATTGTGTATTGTGTACTTCATTTTCTATGCTGTACATTGCGTTGTATGTTGTATGTCGTGTGTCGTCTGTCGTGTGTTCGGACATACTACACATAAAGAAGTGACCGCTTCAGTCTGTTTGTGCAACACAAAATGTGGTTCGTAATCAAGGTTCAGTGGTCAGCTAACGCTCCACAAAGGACTCCAGTCACATTTACTTGACCCAATCTACACACCTCAACGCCACCTGTGAGCTCAGAGAGCTGTCACCTCATTCTATATCTCTGCACTGCCATGATAGGGGTTTTCTTGTTCGAAGGCCACGAATGTAGAGAGAAATAAATTCACTGGATTTCGGAAAAGTAACACCAAGCTCCCCTTATGGTCGCCATTTTGTTCTACGGAATGAGCAGATTCTCCTTGACCTCTCCATTCTCGGTGAGTCGGTTCCCATTCCCGGCGGTAACTTACATTATGGAAGAATTTCGTGTGCACCGAGCTTTTGTTATCCACTCCCCGGCAAAACAAGTGTACATCCTCGCACCGCCACGATATGCGGCATCGCCGCTTAGCAGCATTAAAAATTATTTCTTTGAATTGAAATATAAGAGGAAAACAATATTATTGTAAGAAATCTTTGTAAATAGGCATGATTGATAATTTAATTGCATACACAGTGTCATAATCAATTATACTTGCGAGGAACGTTTTCTCCACAATGACGCTCGATTGCAATCTTGTCGCGACAAGTTCACAATGACCCTTTCGAAACTTCGAAGATGTAAAAAAACGAAATGGGATTGCATGGAAGCAGAGACCAGCCAGGCAATCGCTTTGTGATGTTATGGTCGTCTACATGTTAGTATTTGTTTGTGTCATAGTAGTGGTCAGAGAGGACAATAGCTATATTTTCCCAAGGATCGGATTAAAAACGGCACCTTTAAGTGTTCTCAGTTCTTAAATTTCTAACCTAAGCTATGCTAGCTGGGTTAGTTGCCCAACTATCTGAGAAAAATGCTAGGCGATGCCCCATATAAACCCGTTCCACATTTCATTTTTATACCGCTACTTCCGGTATTTAAATATATTACCTGGAAGTACCATTTTACTATTGCACACAGCAGGAAACATATCGAGTGCTCAGGCATTCAAGACCAAGATAGCTAGCAATGATATTAGGCCCTTTATCTACGGAATTTTTCTGCTGAGTGCTACAGCCGGCAATTCGCATTAATATTCATTAACTGTATTTGGGGCCCTGGATAAAATTGGCGATTTAGCAGGCTGAACCATACCGAGAAGTTCAACGGAGTGATTCCGGCGTTTCTATTTGAATGCCTCATTTTCCGTTAAGTCCTGTTGGTTTGAAGGCCAGCATAAAAATGCGTGACATAAAAGTGAGCACTTAAATTGAAAAGAGTAGTCTTCCTCGCACATTTTACTATTTGCGTGAGAATGCGAACGTTTAAAGTTATTATAATTGTCGTTTCCAACGCCCTCGAAGTTGTCCGCAGTGGAAAGAATGCATTCGTTTTTTCTTACTTCTTCGGTAATAACAATTTTGCCTGATCTCAGTATCTAGTCTTTTGCCATATCTACTACAAAAAAGGAATATAATAGGTATAAAAGGATGAAATTCTAAAAAAATCGCGTTTAGTCTTACTCAGGGCGCAACGTTTTCATTTTGTCTTAGTTCCTTGTTCTCGAAAGTGCCTCTTCATTCTCACTCCGAACGCTCGAAAGTACCTGTTCATTTTGACCCCGAACCTTGTAGGCCGCCTTTTCGCGATGCCAGACGCAGTCTAGATAAAGTGCTCCGCGGGACCTTGTCGAGTCAGTCTTGCTCTCGCTTGGTGTTACGCTGCCAAATCGGCGTCCGGTATTCTGCTGTCTCGACGCTTGTTCGCCGATTGAACCTTAATTTTATATTTGCAGTTCATCCTCTCATCGCCTTCATTCGTTACATTTCTGATGGAGGTGCCGGGTACTGGCGGGCTGCTGGTGGCGGTCGTCGGGCCATGGCGGCGTAGCTCAGGGTCGATTGCTTGTGCGGAGCAGAGTTGACTGAAACCCGTGGTTCGATGGCTCTCTGAAGCTTTTCTCGCACGACTTCGGCGATGGGCAGAGATACCGGGGAGTCGGCGACAGGCAGCAGCTTATTGAGTTCTTCGCAAACAACGTCGCGGATGATCTCGCGAAGCTCGTCGGCGCTGGTGCTAAGATCGGAGTGGACCGATGCCAGAGTTGGGACGTCGTTTAACAGATGATAGTGGGGGGCTTGGGCCGGTAGTGCCCGCTCGATATTCGTGGCTTCGGCGACGAACCCGTCGAGTCTCGTTTGGAATTGCAGACAAGGCCTCCGAAGATGTCGCTCTTCTCGCCTCTCATGATGGCGCGCAGTATTTTCTCCTCGGCGGCTGGAGGGTCTGCTGGGGTACTCAGCCGCACGACACGCTCGACAAGGCAGGTGACCGTTTCGTTGAGTGATTGAGTGATCGCCTGGAGAGGGTCCTCGGCCCGCTGTCTATGATGCTGATTACAAAACTGGCGCTTCAGCTCAGTGACGCAGGAGTCCCATGACGTGAGCGAAGCCTAGTGTTTCTCGATCCAGTGCCTCGCAGAACACTCGAGAGAAAAGTAGAGGTTTTGAAAGTACTGCTTGGCAATCTATTCGTTATGGCGTGCCACACGCTCGTAGTGTTGGATCCAGTCTTCGATGTCCTTTTGGATATCGCCTTGGAAGGGCGTCGACATACGAGGTGCGACGGGCGAGTAAACCGCGGGGGCGGCGGCAGGGGTCTGCGCCGGTTGGTTGCTCATTGTCGGCTTCGTCAGCTCGCGGGTCCTCTCCGCAGTAGACAAAATTTTATCAGCAAACCTTGAATATGGCGGCTACCTTGAGTCTTGGTAGTTTGCACGGACGGTCTTCTTTAGCCGGAGACTGAGTTGGCCCAGCGAGGCCTCGGAGGAATACGTCTCATGGGCTGCGGTACCCCACACCTATACCAGAAATGTCACGAATGAAGGCGACAGGACGATGAACAGTGAACTGAAAATAAAGGATTGTTTGGCGATCTTGTGCCAAACAAAATTAAGAACAAGAGACAGCAGAAAAGCGGGCAACAGATGGCGGCGTAACAGCCAGCGAGAGCGAGACTGACTCGAAGAGGTCGCGGGAAGTGTCTTATCTAGTGTGCATCGGCATCGCGAAAATTCGGCCCAGAAGGTTCGAGCATCGTGCGTTCGGGGTGAGAATGAATAGGCACTTTGGAAAAGAGGAAATGGAGACGAAATGATAACAGTTACGCCCTGAGTAAGAATAAACGCGAATCTTCTAGAATTTTGCCTTAGTTTTGTGGACGAGGCCGCCGAAGTAGTCGCTCTTCACGCCTCTCCTGTGGAGGCGCCGTATTTTCTCCTCGTTGGCTTGAGCGTCTGCTCAAGTACGCAGCCTCAGGACATCTTCGACAAATCGGGGCCTCTTAACTCGTCAAACACAAAGTTGGGGCCGAAGTTAAGGGATCGTACCGATTAAACTATCACGACGATGACTTCGCGTTTTTTTTCGCCGACGTCTAATGGGCGCATTTCACAGGCGTTCGGCTCCAACTTTGTGTTTGGCGAGTTAGGGAAGCACCTCCTAGACAGCTTTAAAGCCTGCGCATTGCGTCACATGACGTCGCGTCCGGTAAGCCGGCACGGGCGCTGATTACATGTGAGGGCCGCATCAGCGTCCGCGTGCGACTATGATAGGAAACGAGGCCCACGCGAACGCTGACGCGGCACTCGCATCTAATCATCGCCCCTGCCGGCCTCCCGGACGTGACATCATGTGACGTAACGCGCAGGCCTTGCTGCCTAGGAGGTGCTGGTTAAGGTCAATACCACATAGAACACAAGGCCTGCTTGTTTCCTCCTCTAAACGTCATTACTAGTAGATCCCATCAGCGCCCCCTAGCTAGCCCGGATGAGCACCATCGTCTGCTACATCGTCCGCGACATCGTCGGCTCCATCACCTGCTTCAGTGCGCAGTGACTGATTGAAACGTTTATTGAGTGAACCATGCCCTGGCCTATTGGACCTCAAGTAGAAGAGGGGAGGGGAAAGGGAGTTTTAGTGCTGTCAATGGGTTAGATGTACTGTCCAGTCCAAGAGGACCGGAGGTAGGAGATTATTGATGAAAATACTGGCATGCTCAGAACGAGCTCAAATGAATAGGCTGCTAAGACCGGCCATCGTGATGGTGTCGCACGAGCTCACATTAATAGGCTGCTAGGACGGGCAATTTTAATGGTGTTGTATGCACGTTGCAAATGAACTATGGAAGGTGGCTATCAGCTCGAGCTCAGCAGTCGCGCACACAGCTGTGGCCGCCGGTGAATGCGACATAGTTGTGACGCGGCCCATGCTCTCGTCAAGCTTCAACCTGTTTGACGCTTGGGGCGGGTCGGTGGTCTACTAACTAGAGTTCATGTAAAGGCTCCCTACGGGAGTCAGAGTTGCGCGTTCATCCCCGTAGCGTCGTCTTTCCTGCACGGCATTTTGATCCTGCTCCTCACGTGACTGAATTCGGCGAATAGCGGCGCCGCGCGTTCGAGGCAAGCACCGCGCTCAAAAGCAGGGGAACGTACTGTCGGGGCACGTGCAGCGTCTACATTCCTGTACGGCATTTGATCAGGATCCTCACGTGATCGGATCTCGGCTAATAGCGGCGCGGCGGCACGTGGAAAATAGACGCGCAACTCTGGCTCCTGTAGGGAACCTATACAAAAACTCTGCAACTAGCCAAACGGCATGCGCAGGCCTTGTCGTGTAGCTCGTATTTGTTTTGGGCCCCAGGTGACGGTTTCGT